AAAAAAATGTTGTCAACGAGTTATAAATAGTTCATGTTTCAGGATCACACTCTCTTTATTTTTGTAAACCTGAAACGTAACCCATGTTTTGATAGTTATTTTTAAATATTGAGTTGGTCTTGAGCCGATTACATATGAACTCAATCCGCCTTGTAAAGTTTTGGATCAAATTGAATAATAAATCTAGTTGCCTTGAACTATACTCACACAGTCACACCTCCTTTATTCTAGCTTACCGCAATACCGCACAACAATTAGTTTATTGAATACAGCCATCAATTGGAACATCAATAACACATTAATGATTTCAAGAATCATTTCAGCCTCATATGCTGCAAGAACTTATGATGTGTGAAGCAAAAATTGTACATTCCAAGGCTATGTCAATGAATGACAAAGAGAAGTGGCAAAAGTATAGGATTAAACAACATCACTATGCTTCAAGTTTTACAGTATCTTATACCTTACAGTTTTTTTTTGTTTGAATGATTTTCTAAATCATTGAAGGAGCAATTTTCTACTAGGTATGTATTAAGATTGTTTGTTTGTGAGTTTCAGCAATCGAATGATATACTGAATAGCGAATACCAAACCTGAAGAAAAATGAAGAGCAAATATATTGGGACTGTTATCAATTTACCTTCAATATAATCAAGAATTTGGTCCATGAAACCTAATTTCTTCTTGGAAGCAGAACAAGCCAGTGAAGGATTCCGAATTTTACCATCTGAAATAACAAAATTGGAATTCTTCTTACACTTCCTGGATATGGAACAGTGCGGAAAAGAGAGTGGGAAGAAAGATGAGGTTGAGCTCGCCATAGCCCTTTAAAATGTCATCCTTTCATTTCATTCGCTTGTGTATTAATATTTTTATACGTATTGTGTATTAAAATTTAAAATTTTTATTTTTATACGTATTGTGTATTTATATTTTGAGCTTGTTATTTCCTAACATAAATTTTGTGTTATATTGAAAATGAATGAAGTATTTATAAAAAATGTGCAGGGTAAAAGAAGTGATCATACATAATAGAATTTTTAAGCACGTTAGAGAATTCAATGATCTTTTGAATTTTTTATGTTCATTTTGTAAATTATGTGTGTTCATCTGATACTGATTTTATGCTCATTTTATAGATATGAGAGCACATACAATGATACTGAATTACATGTTCCTAATACTCAACAGAAGATGTATGATGATCAATGAAAATGTCTTAGTGCCCAACTAAAAATACTTGTAATTTTTCATAACAATACTCATTTCATGTGTTATTTATGCACAACAGGTACTCATGTTATACTCATTCTTAAAATGTCATATCAATGCATATTTTAAAACTACCATATTACATTAGATTCTCATTAAATCGAATTGATTATAGACACGAGAGTCGAGATTATGATACTCAATTACTTACATGATTCTAATACTCAATATAAAAAGTTTGATGCTCAATTAAAATGTCTTGATGATGATCATCTAACAAAGTTTATTATTTTCATACCAATGCTCATTTTGAAAGTTATCTGTGCTCATTTGGATACTGATGTTATGCTCATTTTAAAATATCATACCAATGATTATCTTAAAATTATCATATTACATTACATTCGCATATTCAAATTCATAGGAATTGATTATATATATAATTTAATGAGTTTTTATATATAAAAAACAAGAAAAAGAAAGTGAATTACAACATTACATTGCATTCACATGAGAGTTGATTATAGACACGAGATGAGAGCTCATAATACTCAATTGCACGCTTTTAATACTCAATAGAGAGGTGTTGATGCTCAATGAAAATGTTTGATGTTCAACTAAAGATTCTTATTGTTTTCATATCAATGCTCATTTTGTAAGTTACATATGCTCAATTCATACTGATGTTATGCTCATTTTTAAAATATCATATCAATGCATATTTCTAAAGTATTATATTACATTAGATTCACATATTGAACTTTATAGAAAAAAAAGAAAAAAAAAAGAAAAAAAAAAGTGAATTAGAATATATGACGCAGAGATTATGATGCTCAATATTAGACTCCTAATAATCAACAGAATAGGTCTAGCGCTAATTAAAAGTTCATTATTGCTCATTTAACATAAACCATTATTTTCATCACAATATAGGAGGTTTGATGCTCAATGAAAATGTCATGATGTCTAACTAACAAATCTTATGATTTTCATATTTTGAAAGTTGTGTATGTTCATTTGATACTGATATCATGCTCATTTGTAAAATGACATATCAATGCATATTTCAAAGGCATCATACTACATTAATTTCGCATATTGAAGTTTATAGAAGTTGATTATAGATATAATTTACTGAGTTTTTGTAAAAGATAAAAAATAAAAATAAAAAGAAAGTGAATTACAATATATGAAATTGATATCACAATACTCGTTATTCGACTCTTAATACTCAGTCAAATATGTTTGATGCTCATTAAAAGTGTATTGATGCTCATCTAACGAAAACCGCGATTAGCACTTTGCATTTAATAAAAAGATCCAAAATTCACTTTTGCATGTTTCAATCTGGCCACCACCATGTCACCTGGTACGGTGCCAACTGTGCGTGTGACATGGCAACTTAAGAAGTCAAATAAGCCTCTGAACCCGACTGAATCGCTCAATTTACCCCCTCAACCCTAAAAAATGACAAAGTTTTGAAGGAAAAAATAACATAATAAATAATAATAAATAAAAAATAAAAATTATAAATAAAATTCATGTCAAAAATATAAAAAATATTAATGTGAAATATTCATCGTTTACGGTGGATTTAAAATAAAAAACAAAATATAAGCTAAAAAAATTCTTTAGCTATAACAAATAAACAGTGTATTTTTACTAACTATATTTAAAATTTTATTTTATGTAGTATATCTAATGGTTTGTACTATAACACAAATTTTAATTTTTTGGTTTGACATTTTATACGAAGCATTATGTTTACATTGTCCATTTTCATTTTATCATTTCATTTTTTTAAATTTATTTAAAAATACACTAAAAATAGATCTACTCTTTTATGTAACTATTTTCTTCAAAGTTACTAACTACACTTTTTATATCTATAGTGATATAAAATTACTCATATATTAGAATTAAAATATAAAAATAGTAACTACATACTCATATTATTTATTATAAATACAATGAAGTCGTTTTACATATTATATATATAAGAATTAATATCTTTTAGTTTATATTTTATTTATTTATTTTGAATTTACCAAAAAATATAAATATTTCATATTTATATTTTATATTTTTCACATATTTAAATTCTATTTTCCATTTTTATTTCCATTTTTTTTGTAATTTCGACGTTTTTTAGGGTTGAGGGGGGTGAATTCAACGATTTAATCAGATTCAAGGGCTTATTCGATCATTTAAGTTGCCACGTCACATGTACAATTGGAACCTATCGGGTGACGTGGCGGCGACCAGATTGTGGCCTGCAAAAAAATGAGTTTGAATTTTTTTTATCGAATTCATGGTGCCAATTGGAGTTTTTTTTTGTTCGGGGGGGGGGGGGGGGGGGGGGGGGGGGCAAATTGAGCAATTAAGAAGGGTACATTGCCCTATTTCACCCTTTAGCGTAGAATTAATAATAAGATGATTTGTTTGTTTGTGAGTTTTCAACTATTATTTTTTCATCATTTGTGCTGGAGCCAAAAACTCATTATTTTTTTACTTATAGATATGATGGAATAAAACAAAATGACTCACTAAAACGTTTGCACTTCTTTGTTATGAAGTTGCAGTTAGTCCCTGCAATTTTTGACGTAATTTTCATTATGAGTCATCAGGAAACAACCTCTTTGTTTTTTAGTACAAGGGTAAAACTTCGTACATCAACCCCCTTTATCCCATCGTGGGTGGGATCCTTTGTGATACTGGGGTGAAAAATGATGATGATGATGATGATGATGACCTTCTCGCGTATTATAGTGTTTCGAGGTACTGAGAAAGTAAGATTTTTTCAAGATTTTTGTCCCGGTGTGTTATAAGAGATATAGTTAATAGATCAGATAGATTTTTGTGGTTCAATGCAGTTTCTTTGATTCGCTTTATGTTTCAGATGTGTTTTGTTTTTGAATAAACGTATATTGACTATAAAGAGCAGTTGTTTGATTTTTTGAGTTGACTGCATTCTAAGGAGCAGTTTTTTTGTTTCTTGTGGATTGAATGGACTATGCAGGCATTAACTCCACAAGAGCTGTTAGTCTAAGGGCGGCTTAGGTAACTGAACACAAAAGCCATCCAGTCGAAGTTGTAGCTTATTAGCTTATAGAACCGCCACTAGAAGTTGAGAGTTTTCTTAACTGTTGTTAACTCCAGTAGCATCTTAAAAATTATGTTTAATCCAAAACTATTTAAGAATTATTTATTTAATTAACATTACTCTAAGGAAAAAGTCACATAAATAAACTACTTAGTGAGTTAGTGTCTCAGTGAGTACATATTTAGTAAAAAGATTTTTGGATCGTCTAGACTATAGAAATACTTCTTTAGTCCCAAAAAATTCCTCCCAATTTGACTTAGATTGGATTTTATGAAAATGGAAATGTATGATTGTGATTGAGTAAGAAAAAGGTAAATGAATTATAACCAACAAACCTTTCCAAATAGGGAAACGGAAAGAATTTTCTGGGACGATTCGAAAAGGTAAGTGAGAAGAATTTTTAGGGACGGAGGGAGTAAGAGCTAGGATGTTTTTACTTGGACTGTCATTTGCTGGTCTGGTCTAATCTGGTCTGGTCTGAACTGGTTTGGTCTGATCTGGTAAGGTCTGATTTCTTTATATTTTTATAACTATCCAAGTCTGGTCTGGTCTGATTTGAACTGGTCTAATTTAGTATGGACTGATCTGGTTTGATCTGGGACAAATTACCGTCCAAATAAAAACATCAACTCATTTCAATCTCCATATTAGACCTCAACCCTAGCGGCCCAATAAATACAGCCTGCCCATATAAACCCCGGTTTCCTCTCACAATCATCTTCAGTTCTGCGCAGCCGTCCGCCACTTTCATCACTTTTCTCTATTGTTGGAGTAAGCCGTGATCTTCGATCTGAATTCTACCAAGTTTGTTAGATATTTTATAAAACTCGAATGCTGAGCATTGTTTTCCAAACATAACTCCACCCAATTAGTGGGAACAAGAGGGGTTTCAATCAGTGCTAATACAAAGCTTTGGTAGATCCGTTGGCCTCTTTAAACATTCCAGTTTCTTCGGGGTTTACATAGGTCTCCTACATTCATACGGATTTCCTGATTATTGAGCATTTAAGATTTAAATTATCATGGTTTTTCTATCCAATCGTTGTTTTAGCGCATTAGAATTGCTTGAAGATCTCATTCCAACGAATGGAATGTGAACTCTTGATTCAATGCGAAAATTGAATGTTTGGGGATTGGTTGGCTCCTTTGGATTATTCCATTTCATTGGGGTTTTTCATATTCTTCATAAATTCAATCGTTTTCTTTATGATTGATGCGTCTACTTATGCATTGACTGTACTCGCTGAATTTTGATTTGTAGGTTGCAGCGGTTTTCCATCAATGCTTATATTGAGATTGAGAGTATATGTCAGGCTTCTTTAACGTCTACTTGTTGTTCTGGAGTTTGGAAATTGCTCTAACATTTTTAAATCAAAGTCTCTTGAACAAAAACATTTTATTTATGGATAAACATTGTTTCAGATAATTTAATTTGTGAAAGATAACAAATGTACTTTTGAAATAATTTAATACATACTCCGTAAGTTGAAATTGTAAATAATTTAATGCAGTGAGTTATTGAAATTGGGAGCGAACAAATGAATTGTGAAATTGAACTGACATTGAAATGAACTAGGTTTCACCCGTGTGATGCACGTGATGAGATTTTCAAATTACAAATGAGCTATATCAATTTTCATATTACAAATGGGTGCACGCTATATAGCATGGATATATGACTGGCACATCATATCTATCTATGTATCACAACATTCTTGCATGAGACTGTTTGAAAACCAGACCCGAATTGGCTAAGTCAACCCGAAAATCTGTAAATATAGAAATGGGCAAAACATCAAAAAACGCGGGATAACAAATGTGGGATGTTAGGGGGCTTTCTGAAATTTGTGGCCTAACGGAATATCAAATTTGAAGGGAAAGATAGCTAACATGAAGCACTCCTCCAATACATATGTGAATCTATACTAAACTTGTTGACTTGTTGAGAAGTCAAAGTTCCCAACTTTTGTGTGTAAATCACAAACTTAATTTGTTAATCCAAATAGAACAATATATACTAAATTACAGAAAGCATCATTTAATGAACATAAATGGGGAAATGAAGAAACTATGGTTAAATAATATAGTAGTCACAATGCCTACTAATGAAATTTTCCCTTTCAATTTGACAGATCAAGAAGCTTTGTTCTTAGCTTCTTCTATCAGCTTTGTTCTCAGATTCTGTCATCAGGGATAGAGATTTTAAAACGTTTTGGAACTCATAACAATCATGAAAGTCATAATAACAAAAAACATATGGTAAAACAGCCACCTCAAATTTTGGGCCTAATTCCCCACTGATGAGATGAGGTCTAGAGAGGCCACCTAAAGAAGCTTAACTCTAGACCTGCACAAACGCGGGTTCGGGCCGGGCTCGGGCCGGGCTTATTCTAAAAAATCTGCCCATTTGTAGTGGGCGGGCCCGGCCCGGCCCGGTACAACGGGCCTCCTCATATGTCAAAGCCCGCCCAAAAGAGCGGGCCGGGCTGCCCGCCGGGCTTTCGGGCCCGGAAAAATTATCCTCTTTCTATTTTTTTTTTAAATCTTAAACGTTTGTAAAATACTTTTATGAAATACACACACGATTCTGAAAAATAAAAACCATTCAAATCTAGAACTAACATCAGTATTTAAAAATTTAATCACAATGTGCAAACAATAAATAAAAGTACAATCAGAATGTGCAATGAGAATAGTCAAAACATAAAAGTATCTTAAAAGACTTGATAGGTGTTCAATACAAAACAGTTCAAGTTTTAACTAACACGGGATACTACTTTATTGGTCCGATCTAATAGCAGTAGTTTGGCTAAGGTTTCATGTTGGCCTTCCTTAATGATAGTAATTTTGTGTGTATATATATAAAATATAATTTATATATATAATTATAATATATATATATGTATACACACATTTAACGGGCCGGGCCTATATTAGAATCCAAGCCCGCCCATAATTTAAACGGGTCCGGGCCGGGCCGGGCCGGTGGGCAAAACTGCGTGTCCAAACCCGCCCATTTATACTTAACTCAACGTTCCATTATATGGCCAATCTATCAAAGACAAAATCATATCACTTGAGTGGATGAAAACGGAAATGAGTACTCATAACACTAATGGCAAGTTTGTTTCTCTAATGCTATTTAAAAAAGAGGAAAAACGTGGAAGATTATTTCATTAACATTTTTTCTTCTGTGCAGGGACTTATTGAGCCGATTATTTATTCTGTTGAGCATAAAGTTACAATTGACCAGAATAGCCAGCTCTTGCAACCGTTGCGTGCAGAGGAGATAAAAGAAGCTCTATTTTCTATGCATCCAGATAAATCACCAGGTCCTGATGGGATGAGCCCGGGTTTCTACCAGCATTTCTGGGATGTGGTAGGCCCCGATGTTGTGGCGTGTTGTCAGCGGATGTTCAATTCTGGTCTAATTCCCGATGGGCTCAATCATACTAATATTATCTTAATTCCCAAGAAGGATAGGCCTGAGACTATAGCTGATTGGAGACCGATTTCTCTTTGTAATGTTCTTTTTAAAATTTTCTCCAAAGTTTTGGCTAATCGATTGAAGCCTATTTTGGGTTATTTAATCTCTCACACTCAGAGTGCGTTTGTTCCTGGGCGGTCTATCGTGGATAATATTATGATTGCATTTGAGGCTCACTATTATTTGCAGCGCAAGAGACAGGGTATTGACGGATATGTTGCGTTGAAACTCGATATGAGTAAAGCGTATGATAAAGTTGAGTGGAATTTTCTTGAGGCCATGCTTTTGAGATTGGGTTTCGACTATAGATGGGTGGGCCTTGTTGTGCTAACTGTTCGAACGGTCTCGTATTCTATTCCTTATGAGGGTATGGAGTTAGGACCGGTGACCCCTAGTAGGGGCCTTCGTCAGGGTGACCCACTCTCCCCGTACCTTTTTATTTTGGTGGCGGAGGGTCTGAGTGCTAGGTTGAGACAGGAAGAGGCGGCGGGAAGACTCCATGGGGTTTGTGTGGCTAGAGGGGCTCCTCGTATTTCACATCTCTTGTTCGCGGATGATTGCTTTTTATTCCTTAAGGCCTCCCATGATGAATGCTCAGTGATCAAAACAGTGTTGGAGGACTATGAATCAGCTTCTGGCCAGGTTATTAATTTTAATAAATCCACTATTTCTTTTAGTGCTAATGTGAGCTCAGATCAAAGGGAGGGTTTTAGAGAGATGCTTGGGGTCAAACCTATGGAAGCCGGAGCTATTTATCTGGGTTTGCCCTCTTTGGTTGGTCGAAGTAAAAGGGAAGTTCTAGCGTATATTAAGGAAAGAATTATTAAACGCCTTAAAAGCTGGAATCATAAATTTTTGTCCAGGGCAGGGCGTGAAGTTCTAATTAAAACGATACTTCAGACCATGCCTAGTTACGCAATGAATGTGTTTCTTCTTCCCAAAGACTTGTGTGCTGAGATTGAAAGAATTATGAACGGTTTTTGGTGGAGGGGCAGTTCTAACAAAGGTGTTCGGTGGACAAATTGGGACACGTTGTGCGTGCCTAAGAAATATGGGGGGATGGGGTTCAGGAAACTTCGGGATTTTAATCTGGCTATGTTGGGGAAACAGGCCTGGAGACTTCTCACAGAACCAGACTCCCTTGTCTCTAAGGTTTTTCGGGCCAGATATTATCCTAATTCCTCTTTTTTAGAGGCAAAGCTTGGTGGTTCCCCATCTTTTATTTGGAGGAGCATTTTTGAAGTTCAACCGATTATCACCCAGAACTTTAGGTGGCGTATTGGTGATGGTAAATCTATGAATGTGTGGAAGGATCCTTGGTTATCAGATGCCTCTAATCTGCGTCCTCTTTCACATGCTACTCCGGGTTTGGAGGAGACTAAAGTGTCTGGTTTACTGTTGAACGAAGCAAGAGAATGGGACAGGGATCTAGTTGATGAGCTGTTTGAGACTCGCGATAAAAACCTTATCTTGGGGCTGCCTTTGAGCTGGAGGGAAGTGCCGGATCAGAGATACTGGGCTTTGGAGGACAAGGGTCACTTTTCTGTTAGAAGTTGTTACCGCGCTATTGTTGGGGATTATCAGGCTGGCCAAGTAGCGGTGTGGGCCCGAATGTGGCGGTTTTATATCCCACCAAAAGTAAAGGCTTTTTTCTGGCAGGCATGTGCAGGTTTTCTTCCGACAGCAGACAAACTCTTAATCCGAAGGGTGAATTGCCAAGCGGCATGTCCATTTTGCTCACGTGAGACTGAATCCCTGATGCATATCTTCGGGTTATGTCAGAGGGCTACTGAGGTATGGAATCTAGTACGGTGGAATGTCCAAGCTCATGCAGGTATTTCTTTTGTACAGTGGGTAGAGAGTTTCTTTCTTAGCAGGGATGAAGAAAGCTGTTGCCTATTTGTTATGTTCATCTGGAGTATGTGGCGAGCTAGGAATATGATGGTTTGGGAGCAAAAGGAGGTTATTGCAAAAGGAATTGTAGCCGAAGCAAAGGCTTTTCTGGATGGTTGGCGCAGAGCGGTAGAGGGATGTATGAAGACCAAACAACGGAGCAATGTTTTGGCGAGCTGGAAAAGACCGGAGGTGGGCCGACTGAAGTTGAATACAGACGCATCAATAGGTGACAGTAATATTTGCGGCCTGGGGTGGGTGGTCAGAGACAGTGAGGGCGGGTTCATTGCAGGTGGTGTTGACAAATGGTATGGTTCCTCTCCGAAGGTTGCTGAGGCTCTGGCTATTAGGGAGGCACTTAGCTGGCTGAAACAATCTGGCTGGGACTATATTGATGTAGAGTCTGACGCGCTTCAGGTTATCTCAAGTATTAATTCTGGTTCTGATGGTTCGCTATCGGGGGTGATCATTGATGATATTAGAGAAATGTCGACTAGTTTTACTAGTATTTATTTTACTCATGTGAAGCGGTCTGCGAATCGGGTAGTTCATGATCTTGCAAGAGCTGTTGTTTCTATGTCTGACCGCTATGTTTGGCTTTATCATTTTCCTACTTGTATTTCTGTTTCGTTAGACCACGATTTGATAAATGACAATTAACTAGTTTTGCTTCAAAAAAAAAAAGAGGAAAAACCAGGTGGCTTTGTTTAATGCTATTAAAGAAAATCAGGTGTATTTCTTATGGCATGCTATAATGGCAGAATTGAAAAGTTATATACTAATTTAACCAAATCAAGCTTCGATATTATATTTTCATGTCATGTTATATTCCATGAAAAAAGCGATTATCAAACATGTACAATGTAATGAAACTGAACCTGAGCTTATATGCTCACCATTACAAAAAATAAAAGAGCAAATCCATATCTGAACAAAGCTCCATAGTATGCCATAATATAGACCTATCTAGTTTTGCACTTCAAATGGATTTCGTCGCCGCTTTGTTGCGAAATTTGTCTGGTCTTCTTCTTCCTTCTCCTTTTTCTTCCTTCTCATCTTTTTCTTCCTTCTCGTCTTCTTCTTTGTTCTCCTCCTTTTTCTTCCTTCTCCTTTTTCTTCCTGATCTTTGCTGTTTCTTAATCTTTTCCTTGTTGCCTGCCTACCCGGTTTGAGTCTCCACCGATGACCCACTTCTTCCTCCCATTACATTCATTGCATCCAATTATATGTGTGTATGATGCAGGTGCAAACATTTGCAAATTGTATATGACCTGCAAATCAAAGGGAAATCATTAAAAACTGAAATATATTGAAAACCGAAAAAATCAAATGTGAAGAAAACACGAGTTTAAATTCCTTGAAGACTGAGTTGAAAATGAAAACTTCCCCAATACTTATGTTATGTAAAAGGATTCATCATTTGAAGATATATTAAGAAATCTTATAAACTGCTATATGATTATACCTACCTAGTCCAAATAAGTCTGCGTAGCTTGACACCTGAAGAGTCGGGCCAAACATGAAGAAAATATATCCCTCTTCTTCTTCATACAGTCCGTAAGCAGCAGATCGAGCCAGATCCACCACTCGCCTCGCTTGCCAGCTCCTCGGAACTGCCTCCACTCTTTTTGCCAATTTACCCTCCGCCCCGTTAATTTTTGTGTCATCCCTTTGCTGGCCACAATTAGTTAAATCGTCTATTTCGATTATATCTCAATCTCAGGCCAAGCTTTATGTAGAGGCATGTTGATTTTAATCCAACATAAGATTGTAAAAAAAAATATAAAAGTGTATAACTAGCTATTTTTACGTGGAAACCCGGAAATGGAGAAAACCACAGGACTTTTTAGGCTAACGTACAAGCCTGCTCTTTCTCATTAATACCCTCCCATCACCCATATACATTGTACAAAGGTAGAAACTCCATTAATGGAGGTTGAAGGAGCTAATCTCTAAGAGGAAGAAGAAGACATATATGGAGAAGAAGAGCCAGAAGAGCCCAAACAGAGAGATCCTTAACCTGGAAGCCAAGCTTCCTATTTATAGAAGGGAATGGAAACCCTTTGATGCTAGTGGGCCGAAAAGGCCTTAATGGGCCAAAGCAGGCCCAAGTAGGCCTAAATGGCTCCAAATGGGCCCGAGGGGCCTAAACGAGCCTCGCGGACCGGGCCGCGTACCGGGACGGTGTCTTGTGCATCTGAACAGTAGTAGGCCGGGGTAATATACCCCAACAAGGCCTAAATGATCACTCAGTGTCCCTTTAACCGAGACTGCCTTTGCTCATGGAAATCGTTCCTCCCAACTAGGTGAAACCAAAATCCGATCCAATTTCTCTTTTGGGACCATCTACTATTACCTCTCCTTCTTTCCCAAGTGAATTGGTATCCATCAAATGAAAAATTTAGCAAACTGTTTGCCGAGTCAGCCTCACGAAAGTCTTGTAAGAGCCAACGCGGATGAGGTATGCTGCCTCTCTTTTCGCAATGGAACATGATATCGTTAAAGTCCCCCATGATAAGCAATGGAAGTAAAGATAGTGAACCGAGGTGATGTTGTAGATTCCAGGAATCCTTCCTCCAAGCTATGCCCGGAAAACCATAAAAGCCAGTAAACCTCCAGGGAAGTCCTCTGCTTCCAGCCTAACACTTGCATCAATGTATTTGCTTGATGAACCAGTAACCTCCACTTCCACTCCATCTCTCCACAAGAGAGCAATCCCACCCTGGTGGCCAGCCCAATCTACTACAAACCAGGTATTATACCCTATTCTCCGTGCACCACTCATATATGTTTCTCAAGAGAGCAGAAACATATATTATACGGAGTAATATGTGGGTGGAACTTGGAAGTGGATAATTATTTCAAAGTTCTCCAAATGACTTCTAGAAGTGTGGATTTTAGAAATCAAGTGAGACCAATTTCTAAAACTAAGAACCCATTTAAAAGTGGGTTTTTTGGCTCATTGGGCTTACCAACAAACTTTTTACCAAATGCGTAACTTTTGTTTTTCATGCGGCCAAGGGAGAGGGGGGGGGGGGGGGGGGGGGAGTCAGGGGGGCCTGAGGTAAACTGAGATCAACCTCACTTCATTGAGAATTGAACTTGGGACCTCCCATATGGGAGAGTGAGTCGGCGACTAGCTGAGCTGGACCACTTCCTCAGTTGGAGTTATTTATTTCCAATTAGCTATTGTTCATATAATGTTTTCTTTATTTAATTAATACTTCCTCCATCCCAAAAAGGTTGACCAAAGTTGACTTTCACATGGATTAATAAAGTAAAAACTGTGTGGTTGAAAATTGTGCAAAAAAGAGAGAATTAAGTTTAGCCCTATATTCCTTACTTTAAATGAAAATGACAAATCTTTTTGAGACATTCAAAAAAGATAATTTGGCCAACCT